TAACCGATAAACTGTTAACAAAGTAATCAATGGAATCAATAAAGAAAGAAACGATTTTTCCCGTGAACAGACACCAAGCGGTACTAGACCGGATGGACGCTTACCTGGACAGGGCCTTCTTCGAGGACGCTGGCTCTCTTCGCGGCGAGGCAAAGCTTGAGGAGCGTGGGCGTGAGGCGAGGAGGCTGATCGAGGCTGCCGGGACGGTGGATCGGGAGCTCCAACTCCTTCGCCAGGAGGAGGAAGACAGCCAGGCGGATTTAGCCAGGCGACAGCAGGAGCAAAAGGAGAAGGCGAGGATCCGGCGTGCGGCGGAGCGTGCTGCGGTCAAGGCTAAGATTGGCTCTTTTAGCCTGCTGAAATTTCTGTAATGCTCTCGCTGTCTAGGTCCTCTTCCTTTTCTTTTGTTGTTTTGTAAACTTAGTTGATGCCTCAGGCATCATAACTTGAAAACCTATGCATGTAAACTCTGGCCCGTTGTGGCTCTTTTGCTTGTTTTGTCTATCCTTACTTTGCTTGCACAGTTTTCTCTTTCTTTGTCCGCGCTGTTTGGCATCTGAGTTGGACTTGGTGAGCCTTTGACTATTCTGTTTTAGACTTAGTCGTTTTAGGCTCTTGTTCTGCCTTCTGTTGCTCGTAGCGTGGGATCGGGTTAACTCCGATCTTCGCGTTGTAGCTCAAATGGGATCGAGAAGGCGACGTTTGGCTTGCAGCAAAGAACAATCGTTCGCTCTTGCGGCCAACTGAAGAGCTCAACTTCAACTCGCATCTCGGTGAGTTATTGCTTGGGGAACCGACAGATAGGTCGTCTGCCGAACCGTCTGCGACAATTGTCGTCATGTGAGAATGTGACAATTGATTGTGGTAGGAGCCATCGCGTGGTAGACCACTACCCATCAGTTATCCTAAGGGAGTGTTAGGATATCTGGAATAGGTCAAATAGTTCAGGGACGTAGGAGTATGACTATTGACAGAAGTAATAGCACGTCGCGTGGTAGGCCATTACTTAGGCTGTGCTACTCGTAGGAATAACGGCGCCAATCATCAGAGGTGATCATTAACTTGATGGGGTCTTGTCGCGATTGGAGCAACTGTGAGGGCCTACCATTCTTCCGAAGAAGATTGGCAAGTGAATTGTGTCAGAGGTTTAATGTTAACGTGACAGGGAATGTCGTGATTGGAACGACTTTGAGGACCCACCATCTTTTAGAAGAGGATTGGTGAGTGATTTTGGCTCTGGTCCTAACTATCTGAAGGTTTGACCAAGTGGGCTTTTGTTGTCGCCTGCCAGAGATGCTAGTTTCACCTGTCTTGAGAGGTTCGCCAAGACAAGGAGCTTTAGCTCGAGAAGTAGACTTCGCCTAGACTGATAGGCTTGCCTGATATGATTGATTCACCTGATCTGAGCGATTCGCCTGATTTGAGCAGTTCGCCTGTGGTTTTGAGGGCCAGTTTAGACTCATGCACTCTTGGGAGTTTGTGAAGGAGCACTATGGGTAGTACTTCTTCAGATACTTGCCGTTGATGGGCATCATGATCTTATCGCCATTCGGCTTGACGAGGCGATAGGCGCCTTTCGAAT